CAATATCAATAGAAGACAACATTTGCAACATGCCTGCCTCTACTTAGAGACACTTGGGTAAGTCTCCATTCTTATTCAAGGTCAATCCTTCCAGGATTCACTGGGTCCAGGATCGGAGAGCTGCATCCCTGGCATAATACCTTAGATGTTGTTACATCCTTACTGTCCATCCCTAAGAAGGCAGGGTTATCCAACTGACCCTCAGAACAATGACTTCCAGTCTTTTCAGGCTCTCTATTGTTGTTAGATACCATTGAGTCTAATATGTTGACCTAAGTACAATACAATCTACCTGTTCCTGTGCCATCCTTACAATTCCTGTTATGTTTGAGATCATTGTTGTACCACTCACTGTGTTAATCCATCTCATTGAGGATCACCAAAGTAAGCCTGATAGTGTGACATGTTAGGCCTGTAACTCATAATCTCTGTGGTTTAAATGCAGTTGTTTTTCTAAAGGGTAGAGATGGACAGTCTTCTGTAAATACTTACAGCCTTGGGAACTTGAAGGAGGGGTGCCAGGAATAAGAATGAACTTGAAAACCGTCAATTTTTTTTTCTTTTTACTTTTTCTCGGGACTGACCCCTCCTGATAACATGTTCAAAGAACACACGACAAAGTGTCTTCCTCCTGGCTTCTAAGGAACATTCTGGTTTCATTTCTTCTAAGACAATTTTGGCTATTTTCTCGGGAGTTAAGGGTCCACTGTTTGCACAGGATGAAGTTTCTCTGCATCACCGTCTGGTGCCCTGTGCTGAGGATATGCTGTCAGAGTGATGGGGGCCAAAGGAGCACTGAGCCCTCCTCCTCAGTCATTATCTCATGGTTGGATATATGGGAAATTAGAGGCTGTGTCTACAAAGCCTGGAGCAAACTATTTTATAAATTGCCATTTTTTCTGTGAAAATAACCCTTTTGCACACCAACTAACTTTTGATCAGGATTAAGGAGGGTAGTGAACTTCAAGAAGCTCACTAACTCCTCAAGACGTCCCAGGGTATGGTGAGTGGGCTCCAGGTGAAAAAGGTGGAAAAGATCTAGTGTCTTTCCTAACTGGGTCTGATCTCAACGACTACTGGGATCTTGATGGGTGAGCAGGAAGAGAATGGTGTGCAAAATTCAGAAACTAGAGAATAAGACAGGCAAAGCTGCTTATTACTTTCTTTCCAGTTTCTTCCTTATTTCAACAAATATTTTATTACAGAAATGGGATAAAAGTAAGCATGCAGAGAGAGAACTAGTTTCTTCAGGGCAGAGCCCCAAGGGAAATCATCCAGTTTCTGTAGGATTCAAAGTGGTGTGTGTATCTGTGGGATCTCCTCAGAGGACTGAGAATATCAACGAGATCTTCGTGTATATTCTCAGGACAGTGACCCTTCATGACCATTGTACCCATTGTTCCTGGCTTGAGTCGCCTCATTCTTGCAGACTCTTTAAAGTCCAATGTTTTATGCTCTCTTGGACTTCTGACCAATTCCATTCTCTGGTCTAGAATCTCTTCAACTGTTCTGATTTTGACTACAACCTTCCCAAAATCTCATGGAACTCCTGACTTTCTGGGCTTCCTAAGAATTTGCTCTACGCACAGTCTTGGTTCATATACTCTGTAAGTCCTCTCTGGCACAAGTAGGTTACTCTGCTGCAGCCTTCTCACCAAAGGAAGAGGACTGAACTTCAATTGCCCAGAAACAAAGAGTGTCTGTGTGAAAACCATCATCGCAGTCCCTGATAGATGGCACTTCTCACTCATGATCCCAGAGACCCCTTGCCTTGTTCACTGGAAGTTTCGCCAGTTCTACCTCCTTCCTCTTTCAGTCTTACTCATCAATGGAGAGTAATTATAAAAAGAAGCTCAAGAGTGAGAGTGAGAGAAAGCAGAAGAGCAACGGAGTTGAGACTGCAGCGTCCTTTTGACAAGCTCTACCACGAGGAACTTGGTGAATAGAAAATGCACCTAGTATTGTTCACCTCCATTCTCTTCTGGCTTCCAGGTGAGTGTAGGGTCTGGATTTCTATCCATCAGAGAAACATTTTCAGCAAGTAGGAGTAACTGGAAGGAAAAAAAAATCTCTTAAATAACTTGATCCAATTAAAGGCAATAATAAGGATGGCAGAAAAAGAATTGACACCTTTGAGCTGTGGTGTTGGAGAAGAGCACTGAACATTCCATGGGTGGCCAAGAGAACACACAGATATGTGTTGAAGAGGGTGCAACTGGAGTGCTCTTTGTAGGCAAGAATGATGAGGCTTCACCTCCCATACATCGGACGTATTGCTAGGACAGGCTATTTCTTGGAGAGGGAGATGATACCCAGAAAATTAAAGGTTGGTTAAAGGGAGGAAGAGCCTCAACCAGGTAAATTGACATGGCGATGGTTTCAATGGGCTCTTGTGTGTCATGAAGTGTGAGGATGGTGCAGGCTAGGGCAGGGTTCAGATCTTTTGATCACAGGGTTGCTATGAGTCATACTTGACTCAATGGCACCTAACAACAACAATAACATACAGGAGCTCTAATGGCTTAAATGTAAGGAACTGTGTTGTCAACCCCAAATCATGCTGTTCAAATCCACCAGCCTCCATGTGGTAGGATGATGGAAAATCTTCTCCCATGTGATGTGTTGCCTCTGAAAACCTACAGGAGTGTCAGTGATGGCTTGGTTTCAACTCAATGGTATGACATAAAGTAACAAGGGGGTTCTAGTAATGTGATTTGTAGAGAGTTGTACTCTTCACCCCAAAGCTACACTTCTCTGATATGACAAATTTACCAGCTTCTTTGAGGAAGAAAGATGGAGCATCTCCTTCCATTTGACTTGCAGCTGTGAAATGAAATTGTTAATATTAGGTGTTACTGAGTCAAGTACAACTCATAGCAACCCTACGAACAAAAGATCTGAACCTAGTCCTGTCCTGTGCCATCCTCACACTTCCTGACACACAAGAGCCTAATGTAGGAGTCACCCTGCCAATCCATCTGGTCGAGGGTCTTCCTCTCCTTTGCTGACCCTCCACCCTTACCAACATCATATCCCTCTCCAAAGGATAGCACTTCTTAGCAATATGTCCAAAGTATGTTTGTCAGAACCTTATCATTCTTGCCTCCAAAGAGCACTCTGGCTGCATCCTTTCCAAGACATATCTATTCATTTTCTTAGCTGTTCACAGGATGTTCAGTGTATGTAACATTATCAAGGTTACAGTTAAAAATAAATTTTAGGGAAAATTTGGAAGTTCCTCAAACAGTTAACAATCTGATTAGAAACCAAGTGTCTCTTTTGAGGCTAGGATTTTGAAGCTCACCTCACATATTCTGGGTATGTAGCGAGGAGAAACTAGTCCTTGGAGAAGGACATCATGCTTGGAAGGGCTGAGGGACAGCACAGGAGAGGAAGACCCCAGAGGAGATGAGTTGGTACAGTAATTGGGGTCGTAGGGTTGGTGTGTCGGATTCAGTGAGATAGGCTCAGGACTGGGCAAGGTTCAGAACTGCTGTTCATAGAGTCACTATGGGTTGCAGAAGACTCAATGGCATATAACAGCAACAGCATATGGTTAGAAATTCTATTCCTAGGCATGTATCCAAGAAAATTGAAAACATATTTATATACAAAGATTTGTACACGAATGGCCATAATAACATTATTTATAATAAACCAAAATTAGAAACAGTTAAAATTTTATTCACTAAAGAGTGATAAACAAGATGTGTAAGAGCCAGAGAACAAAATACTACTCCACCATCAAAATGAATGAAGTCTTGACACATGGCACAGCATTTGCCATTATACTAGGTAAAAGAACTCAGGCATAGAAAGCCATGCATTGTATTGTTCCATTGTTATGAGGAGCCCAGAATAGTCACATCTGAAGAAACAGGAAGTGTAGAATTGTGAAGATGACAGAAAGCAGAATAGTGGAGGTGACAGAAAGTAGAATGGTGTTGTGGAGGAAGGGAAGAGAACTTAGAAAATAAGAAGGTACTAGACACTCCACATAGGGGAAAGATTTCCAAGAAGGACAAGTGTAAGCCTCTAAGATAGGAATGAGCCTGACTTTGGCATATTTGAAGAACAAAAAGATGAACATAATTTCTTCATGTGCTTCAATACAGTCCTGTGGTAACAGGTTGGGTGAGTATTATTATCCTTTTGGGGGAAAGGACTCAGAGAAGAAAAGTGGAATTCTCAGGATCACAAAGCTTATAAAAACAGAACCTGGCAGACTACCTTTACCTTCCAGAGGTTCTGTCTTCAGGACAAAAAAGCTAAAGTGGTAACTTCCCTTCTCCTATGGAAATGGGTTTTCTGCTAATTTTTTGCCCACCAGACCAGAATATAGGGGAGTTCGGCTCTAAATGAAATATTAGTGGCAATTGGGACCATCTAGAAGCTCCTCAGGAGAAGACCTGGTAATCCAATTCCATAAAGATCAAAGCCCTGAACCTCCTGTTAAGCAGGGTGACTGGTAGTCAGAATTAACTTCCTCCTACCCAATAACAAAAGATTGGTATAAGACAAAGACGGTTACAACCAGACATCTCTTCAAATGTAGATTATTTTAGCTATAGGGCAGGGAGAGTGGTGGATTATAGAATGTTGCTATTGCTCAGTGCCAATATTTTAATTTCTGTTGAAAAATCTGTAGGTATCCTGTCAGTGACTCAAATGGAATTCTGCAGGACATCGGTCTGTCTCATGAGAAAGTATATTCCTTACTTGACTCTTGTTCAACTCACCAGATACTTAGATTTAGGAGTGTTTCTCACTGTAGAAAATGTAGCCTTTCCTTTAGGGTGAGAGATGATAGACACATGGCTTTATGTTTTCCAGGATGCTCCACCTTGAAAGGTCCAAGTGCGGTGAGTGGTCCGAAAACAGGGTCCTTGACTGTGGAGTGTGATTACGAGGAAAGATGGGAGACCTACTACAAGTGGTGGTGTCGAGGTGTTGATTGGCATGGCTGCATAATTCTTGTTAAAACAACTGGATCAGAAGAGATGGTAACGGTGGGCCGAGTGTCAATCAAAGACAATCATAAAAACCAGAGATTCACTGTGACCATGGTGAACCTCAGGAAAGATGATGAAGATATTTATTGGTGTGGAATTGAGAGATATGGACTTGACCTTGGGGTCAAGGTTAATGTGTCAGTTGGCCCAGGTAAGAGTGTGTATGTGTCAATGAGCTTCAGCACTTGTTCTGTCCTGGTCCCTGGTCTCTTGAGAGACTGAAATGTAAGCAGGTCAGAAAGGGATGAAACTCTGAGAGATGTCATTGACTCTCACTGTCCACTTGGGTTTGAGAATAGTGCTTTCTCCAATAGTCTAGAAAAGTCTTCAGGATTCTTCTAGAATGTGTCCAGCCTTTCTGGACACATTTTTTTTTTAACTTTTAACAGCTTAAAGCCATGTTCTTTATTTCAATGAAGTTCTAGTTCTATGGGTCAAATGGAACTCCATTGATGGGACTCAGGGCTTCTAATCTCTGTCAATGTTTTTCTGAGATGTCTAATTTGCAGAAAAACTTCTAGGATGAGACTTCTGGATATGGTAGATCATATGACTGCTTGATCCAAAATGACCAAAGCCAGTCCATCTCAGCTCACCAATGCCCCAGGATGTCGATCTTTATGAGTTCCATTTCATTTTCGACAACTTCAAGTTTTTCTAAATTCATACTTTGAACGTTTCATGTTCTGATTATTCATGGGTGTTTCCAGTTGTAATTCCTCATTTTGAGTCTTGTCAGCAAATGCGGAGCTGAGCAAGCTGTAACTACTAACAACCTCAGTCTCTTCTCCATCCATCATGGTGCTGCCATTTGGGCCGGTGGTGAGAATCTTTGTCTTCTTGTGGTGAAGCTTCTTTGAGAACAAATCATTTGGGAGGCTGGGCCTTAGGAGGAGGAATGTGGCATTAGGTTTGGAAGAAGACTCCTCAACAACCTACATTATGCAGAGGACACAATCGTGCTTGCCGAGACTGAGCAGAACCTGAAGCATTTGCTATAGAAGGTCAAAGACTGTAGTCAACCGAACCCATAGCTGACCCTTTAGCAGGTTGTCAGAGGCTATAAGTCACATGGGAGGAGATTGCTTGTCTTTCTTCTACAGAGAGGCTGGTGGATTAGAACCACTGCCTTCAGGTTGAACGTGCAATCCCTGACTACTAGGCCACGAGGTCTGTGCAAACAACTGTACAGCCATTAGGTGCTCCCTGAGTTCTGAATGGGGCTAAAACAGAAATATGGCAAATAGGTAGCTTTAAAGAGCAGAAGTTTACACATTGATCTACTTCAGATAGAACATCCTTGTTCTATCAGCTTCTAGCAGCCAGAAGTCCTTAGAGTTCCTACCTATGCTGGCCTAGCTAGCAGGCAGGCTGGGGAATCCAGAATGTGTAAAGAAGATCTATAACAGTTCTTTCTTTCTTTTTTATTCAGAGACTTTTTGCTTTTCTTCTTTTTCCTCCTTTTGATTATGATTTGAATGAAAGTTTATAAAGCAAATTAATTTTTCATATAGCCATTCACACATATTTTTTTCTGTGACATTAATGTCAATACCAATAATGCAAAAAGAGTTCTGGTGCCCTAGTGACAAGAAGCTGTGCTACAATCCCAAAGACATGGGGTTTGAGGCCATTAGCTGCTCTGCAGGAGAAGGACAGCCAATCTCCTCCTGTGCAATTAACTACCTCTAAAAACCTTCTGAAGGGTCAGTGCTGGCTTGGTTCTGACTCCAAGGTACACAGCAACACAACAACACCCACAATGCAATTACACTTTTCCCACTTCCTGTGATAATGATTACTGTTAGACCTTCTGTATCTCTCTATCTGCCCTCTTGTTAGTGATATTGTACTCCTAAGGCATATTGCCTTTCCTTTTAGTGAAGCACTTGGCACCAAAGTTTAAACATTGAAGCTTTTAATAAGAATTGCAACTCAACATTAACAAGACAAAAATATTTGCTACTAAAAAAAATATCTGCTACTGGACTGATGGGCAATATCATGATGGACTGAGTAAAAACTGAGACGGTCAACAATTTCATCTTACTTGTATCCACACTGAATACATGTGGTACCAGCAGTGAGGAGGAGATCAGGAGATGTATTGCACCAGGAAAGTCTGTAGTCAGGGACCTTTACAAATTATTGAGGAGCAATGTCAATTTGAGGCCTAATGTGCATGTGACTCAGGCCATAGTATTTTCAGTCACTTGCTATGCATCTGAGAGCTGAACAGTGAGTGAGGATGACAGAAGAAGAACTGATGCCTTTAAACTGTGGTGTTGGAGAAGAACGGTGAAGATCCATGGACTACCAGAAAAACAAAGAAATATGTTTTGGAGAAGGTACAGTCAGAGTGCTCCTTGGAGGTAAAGATGATGAAGTTTCATCTCACATGCTTTAAGCGTGTTTCTAGGAGAGGCCATTCCTTGGAGAGGGATATCACGCTTGGGAAGGTGGAGGAATGGAGAAAGATAGAAAGACCTTTGACCAGATGGTTTGACACAGTGACTGATCTTGAGTATATCAAGAGATGGTGAGGATGGTATGAGACAACACAATGTTCAGCTCTATTGTCATAGGGTCAATATGAGTCATAATCAACTCAGCAGCCCCTGACAACAGTACCAACAACAGTATGTGTCTATTATGACAAAGACCTTTATAACCTAACTATGAAACTGACATACTGTCACTTTTCCTGTATTCTACATTAGAATATGTAATGTTGAATGTCATGCTACTAGAATTTCAACTATTAGCTGAATTACCCATGGTGGCCATGTTTCAGAGGAGCTTCTAAATTAAGAGCAAAAGCCAGCTATCTATGTCTAAAAAACTGCCCACTGAAAATGAATCACAGTAGAATATTGTCTGAGACTTTGACTCACTTACTCTGATCACTTCATTAGGATGAACATGACATTTGTAGAGTGGATGGCCAGCCAAGGTGAGGGAAACCCCTAATGAGAAGATCTGTTAGTTCTGCATGATGCTGTAGCAGAAATACCACAAGTAGGTGGCTTTAAAACACAGAATTTTATTTTCATTTATGTTTTCCTTTTTTTTTTTTAATAGTTCAGCAACCTAGAAGATTTTATTCGGGTGGAGTTCCTCCAGGTGAGACATCCTTGCTATAGCAGCTTCTAATAGCCAGAAATTCTTGGAGTTCCTGGTTTTATAGATTCATCTGTCCCCATCATCTTCAGATAGCATCTGCTTGCTTGCAACTATGTCTAGAACTCAGGCGATGACAGACTCAGGACACATCCTCTATATTGGTAGATCCTCATTAACATGACACAGGAAACTCTGTTCTCAGATAAGTTTCTGTTTTCTTATTTTTCTTGTTGTTATATGTCACAGGGTCCACTTTGAGCACAGTGACCTTAATTATGATGGAACAAAATCCTTTTCAAAATATCTTTGTTTAAGCCCATGTTTTACTCACTTCATCAAAAACTCTTGTGGAAGGTTTTCATATCTTGTGCTATTTATCTACTTTTCTAAGCATGAAGTCCTTCTCCAAAGACTGGCCCCTCCTGTTCACAGTAGGTGAGAGGATAGGAAGTATAGTTATTACAGGACAGATTTGTTTGGCGGTCTGTTGTACATTCAACAGTATTTACAAACACTACACTTTTTAAGGAGATGAGTTGATGCAGAGGCTGTTAACGGTGGGTTCAAGTGTGGCAGATATGATGAAGATGGCTCAGGATAAGGCAGGGTACAGATCATAAGGCAAGGTCAGGCATAGCGTCGCTGAGTCATGGTTAATAGTACCTACAAAATAGAGCAACATTTTAAAGGTATTCTTTAGTTTTCTTATTCATTGTACGAATCTCACATGTATATGAAGTAATTGAAAGGTGAAGTGAATCTTAGATTTTAAAGTGTCGTGTTTGTCTTTTAGCACTTTAAAGAAGTCCAGGGCAACAGATTGACCCAATTTGACACATCTCTGATTTTTTGACTGGTGCTTCTTTTAACGGTACTGATTGTGGATCAAATTTCACAAACACATGCACTGGCCGGCTTTCTTGTCTGTTTTAGTTTGGAAGCTTCACTGAAACTGTCAACCATGGGTGATACTGCCGGTATCTGAATTACAAATGGCAGAGCTTCCAATATCACATCAAAGGGCCATTGAACATCCCATGGGTCACAACAGAATATTGTCTGAGACTCTGATTCACTTGCTATGAACATGCCATTAGGATGAACATGATGTTTGTAGAAGAGTGGAAGGCCAGTGAAGGTGACAAAGTCCTTCGTGAAATGACCTGCTTGTTCCTATTGCTGATGTAACAGGAATATACACATCAAAGTATGACAAGCAGGACAGATAGGCCCAAGGTGGAACACTTAAAATTCAATCCACGATGTGTGCATTGGCAACAGTGGATCATGAAGATGACTGAGGACCACGTGAAGTTTCATTCTCTTCTACATGAGGGAACCATGACACAAAGCTGACAATGACATAGGTAGAAAGCCACTTGGACCAGAACACACCCAAGGGAAGTTGTTAATTTTCAAAGGGCATGAATACTAAGAGGCAGAGGTCACTGAGCATTTAATAAACCTTATTTCACCCATCGCTTACGATGATTGTTGTTGTTGAGTGCCATCATCAAGTCTACTCTGTCTCATTCTAATGCCATGCTGTCATGCTCATTTTTACAACATTTAGTTGTGTACTACAAACTTCATAAGGGAATACATTTTTCACCCTCTTACTAATCTACATTTACAAGGTATACCACAATGTCTGGCTTTTAGCAGAGACTCAATCAGTAAATACTGTTGACCATGTTCTTAAACATATGACCTCATTTAAAATCCCTTTTCAAATTCTACTCTATGTGTCATTTTGAAATAGAGGGAAATCAAGATCCTTGGATGGCACATGAGTTTGCACTCAAATACTAATCTCAAAGTTGAAGTTCAAACTCGCCTAGTGATGATGAGAAACAAAATCTTCATTCGCAATTTCCATTAAGATGGCAACGAAGAGAATACAATGCAATTCTGTTCTATTCTATTCTGTTCTATGTCTCAAGTTCTAATCTGTAAAATGGGATCCCCATGAGTGGGACTCTATCTGAAAGCAATAGGTGTCTTTCTTTTTTAAAAATTTATTATTTC